TATACAATAATACCAGAATAAGGACATTGCTTTTCACATGTATTATTGTTTTACATCAACGATACGGTGTTCTGCGTGTGTATTCATCTACTAGTTCAATGAATGTCTGTTGATTAGATCACTGGATCTTCATGGAAATGAATTCTTACTAAACAGCACTGTATTGCAAAAGAAATGATCTCATTTTGAACATTATCTTTTCTTTAGAAAAAAAGGAACAGACTTGGACAACTAACCTAACAAAGTGGCATATTTTCTTTGTAGGAACCAAATTATACTTGAATTGTGAAAACCTTGAGGTATTGCCAGTCAATGCAAGGCCCAGGACTAAGTCCCGCCAAATGCCTGTCCTCCTGCTCCTGTGATCCCAGCCCCCAGCTCAGAACGTCGAGCTGCTTCTGGATTCCTACACCTGTGCTCTCCATTAGGAGGAGGTCAGACCAGGGCTCCATTTCTCTCGAAGGCTGATGTGAGTTCTTAGCAAAAAGCTACACGGAATTTATGACTGTGCAGGGCACAGTGGCTCCAGGGAAACAATTTGCAAACCAGTTCCTCTGTAGCCCGCTGCCCACCTACTGCCTCCCTTCATTTGCTTGTTTTCTGCTTCAGTCAAAGTTATGTTGTACCGTCACGACCTAATAGCACTGCAATTTTTTCCAAACTTGCCAGAACTTTCTGGAATATACTTAAAGAAAGTAGTCACTCTGCTTCTTGTTAGTTGGCATTCATTTGAGGTGTGTCAGAGCTGGAATCAATGAGTCACACTTGCTGATCACAGGGGAGATTTCGGCAGAGGAAAAGGTTGTGGAGGCTCCCCCCACACTTCCTAGAAAAATCTTTAAGTCAAATGCAGATGCAGAGGCTGGGTGACCAGAGGTTTCAACCACATTGACCATTTCTTACGACACTTTCATTTACTTGGAAATCCTGAGCAAGGCTCATGTGCAGTGCAGTGCATTTCCTCCAGCTCTGCCTTCCAAGGCTGCATCAGGAGGTGAATTTGATGCAGGAAAAAAACAGGACATGGTAGAGAGGAGAGCTAAAATACTGTACACTCCACCAATATGCAGGAAGCTTCCTGGTAGCTTTCAAGCATTTTGGGGTCACAGGTCCTTCACGAATCTGAGGGAAAGTTCATGTTTGCTGCTGTCTTTCTCGACACAGCATTTTGAAACTCATGTCAGAGGGTGCCTGGGGCCTTTGGCACATGGTGGGTCTGGTTTCAAGGAAACAGCCCTAGAGAGCTAATTGGGAGAGTGACGCAGGAGGGCACTTGTCCAGGGCCCACCAGCCACAGAAAGGTCATGTGGCTCTGACTTGGCTCTTTTCCTTAAAGTCCTTGGTGTGAAATCTGAAATGGACCATGGAGAGAAGGTGGGAAAAAGTACTGCGATGTCCCTGTCCTTCTGTTTTTGACACGAAAAATACATGGTCAGCCCTTATAATACCAATTCTCCCTATGTAAATTAAATAGGAATACCATCCACTTCCGGGGCAGGGCTTAAATCAGAGGTCAGCGCTGTCTTATGGGCAGTGATGGCTGAGAAGGCAGGAGACAGAGCAATTGGAGAGTCGAACTTTCATTTGCAGAGTAGTGCTGAATGACAAGTAACTCTGAAGTGAAGTGGGATGCACTACTTTCTGAGGGCTGCCAATATCAAGTATCCCATGTGCCTTAGCCAACAGAAATCCATTTCCCCACAGCTCTGGAGGATCGAAGTCCAGATGAAGGTCTTGGTGGGGCTGGTTTCTCCTGGCGTCTCTCTCCTTAGCCTATGGATAGCCACCTTATCCTCCCGTGCTCACCTGCTCTTCCCTCTGTGTGTGTCTATGTCCTGATCTCCTCGAAGGACACCAATTATGTTGGATTAGGGTCCACCCCAATGACCACATTTTATCTTAATCACCTCTGTAAAGACCCCATTTCCAAGTACAGTCACGTTCTGAGGTTAGGGCTTCAACATATGAATTTGGAGGAAGTGGTGGGACTCAGCCCATTATACTGTGTTTGTGTTTCCTTTCCAAATCTCTAGGGAGAAGTAGACCTACATGTGAGACAGGAAACCTTCAAAATCTTAGAAGGAAGCACAGGCAGTAACCCCTCTGACCTCAGCCATAGCAACTTCTTACTAGACACATCCCCTGAGGCAAGGGAAACAAAAGCAAAAATGAACTATTGGGACTACAACAAGATAAAAAGCTTCTGCACAGCAAAGGAAACAATCAACAAAACTAAAAGGCAACCTACAGAATGGGAGAAAATATTTGCAAATGACATATCTGATAAAGGGTTAATGTCCAAAATATATAAAGAACTTATCAAACTCAACACCCCAAAAACAAATAATCTGGTTAAGAAATGGGCAGAAGACAGGCATAGACATTTTTCCAAAGAAGACATTCTGATGGCTAACAGACACATGAAAAGATGCTCATCATCACTCATCATCAGGGAAATGCAAATCAAAACTACCATGAGAGATCACCTCACAACTGTCAGAATGACTGAAACCAACAACACAAGAAACAACAGTGTTGGCGAGGATGCGGAGAAAGGGGGACCCTCGTGCACTGTTGGTAGGAATGCAAACCGGTGCAGCCACTCTGGAAAACAGTATGGAGGTTCCTCGAAAAGGTAAAAATAGAGCTACCCTACAATCCAACAATTGCACTACTGGGTATCTAACCAAAAGATACAAAAATACAGATTTGAAGGGGCACATGCACCCCAATGTTTATAGCAGCATTATCAACAATAGCCAAACTATGGAAAGAGGCCAAATGTATATCGACAGGTGCATGGATAAAGAAGATGTGGTGTATATATACAATGGAATATTATGCAGCCATCAAAAGTGGGAAATCTTGCCATTTGCAACTATGTGGATGGAACTAGAGGGTATTATGCTAATCGAAATAAGTCAATCAGAGAAGGACAATTATCATATGATCTCACTCATATGTGGGATTTAAGAAACAAAACAGAAGAACATAGGGGGCAAAAAAGAGAGGGAGGCAAACCATAAGAGACTCTTAAGTATAGAAAACAAACTGAGGGTTGATGGAGGGAGGTGGGGTGGGGAATGGGCTATATGGGGAACGGGGATTACGGGGGGCACTTGTGATGAGCACTGGGTGTTATATGTAAGTGATGAATCACTAAAATCTACTCCTGAAACCAATATTACACTATATGTTAACTAACTAGAATTTAAATAAAAACTTGAAACAAACAAAAAACATTTTGTGTTTGTCTTCAAATATCAATTTACTGGATGATGAGCAGTTTGAGGGCTGGTTTTCATTGCTTCTCTGAGTTTCCAGCACAGGGCTGGGCACATGGTAGGTGCTCACTCTGATAATTCTAACTAATTTAACTCTGATAATTATAACTTCATCTTGTCATCATTCTCTTCTTGAATATTCAAGAGCTGCATCTGCCTTGTGATTCCTGGATCCTGGACTAATACTCCAGCTAAGAAAACTAGGTTTTCTGAAACCTCAATCTGTATTCTAGCTTCTCTTGACCTAATAAGTCCAGAATAGCTGAACAAACCTGACATCTGATGCAATGCTTAAATGTAGAAAAAGCCTATAATAAAAATAGGTTTTCGGGGCACCTAGGTGGCTCAGTTGGTTAAACGACTGCCTTCAGCTCAGGTCATGATCCTGGAGTCCCGGGATCGAGTTCCATATCGGGCTCCCTGCTCAGCGGGGAGTCTGCTTCTCCCTCTGGCCCTCCCCCTCTCATGTGCGCTCTCTCTCTCTCTTTCTCAAATAAATAAATAAAATCTTTTAAAAAAAATAGGTTTTCACCTGTCTTTTTCTAACTGATGTCTGCCTGGCCTCAAAATCTCCACAAACACACTCACAGGGGACCCCTCCTCCCTGAGAGTCTTCACCACAGACACCCCACATGGGGGACCCCTCCTCCCTGAGGGTCTTTAGCACAGACACCCCCACACGGGAGAAACCCCTCTTCTCTGTGGTCTTCTCTCCTGCCAATGGTCAGGGTTTATGTTCACTCCCCATTTCAGCAGAGATCCTTGGACTCTGGCCCCCTCCCTGTGCCCTCTCACACTTGGCAAAATAAGACATCATTGGGCTCCTTGACGAAGTACTAAGAGACTAAGGGGTACTTTCACGGGCCTGAGCTGCTTCATCACTGAAACCTCGTCTTAAAAATCTGTGTATTGACATTTTTGCTGGAAATGATAAATGAATGGCCCTTTGAAAAAAGCTGGAAAATATGGACAAAACCCATAGGAGAAAATAGAACTCATTTCTGTTAGCCAAACCCAGCAATACCTACCGTTATTTTGGGGGTCTGGTGTGTACCCCCAGTCTTCGCAGCTAGGGCAACGTGAGGAGGCAACCCCCTCTGTTTGTCATGTCAAATAAGCGTTCATACGCATGCCACGGGGAGAGGTGCCCTGCTCAGCATATAGCCTGCCTCGTGTGCTTTCCATTTCCATCTGATGTTGAATGCGCTTAGCCCATGTCAGTGACTGCACAATATTCCGTCTTAATAATAGACCAAACGGGGATTCCGTCTCTGAGTCTTGAACACTTCTGGTGGAGTGTTCAGTACACACTGCGGCATGCAGATCGTTATGGGCGAGCCAGCTTACATATTACGGAATATTCCTAGGAATGGAGTTGCCAGCTCGAGGGGGCATGGAGGGTTTTCAGTCTAGGGTTATAAATTGAGAAACTTCTGGGAATTCTGCACCAATTTAGGCTTCAGCCAAGAGTGAATGAGCCTGTCTACCAGAAATTCTAACAAAAATGGCAATTTTATTAAAGGAAAGAAAAGAAACACTGTTGCACATTTGTTAGGCAAAAAAATGAAACCTCAACATTTTTAAGAATTTGAATTTCTTTTCATTACTAGAGAGATTGAGGGGGTTTTCCTCTGCTTCTCAGGCCCTGCACTTCTTGTTCTGTGAGCAACCCGTGAGCTATTTTGCTGTCAGACGCAGCTTGCCTGTGATCCTTGTAGTATGTGGTTCCCTCGCTGCTTCTTTTTTTTTTTTTTAAGATTTTATTTATTTATTTGAGAGAGAGAGCACAGAGGGACAGAGGGAGAAGCAGAATCCCTACTGAGCAAGGAGCCTGATGCGGGGCTCGATCCCAGGACCCTGAGATCATGACCTGAGCCGAAGGCAGACGCTTAACGACTGAGCCACCCAGGTGCCCCTCCCTCTCTTCTCATACACCTTGCAATGAATGTTTTTTGACTTACTGATGGGTTTTCACTCGATCCAAGTGCCTGCCAAGCCCAGTGTGGCCCGCAGAGATGACCAGTTGGCAGGCAGTGACCATGCGGGGCTTGGCTGAGGTGGCTCCTAGGTCAATCCAGGACCAGCCCCTAAACCTCAAGGAGCAGGGGAGAAAGCTTGTACCTTCATGGCATCGTGGCTGATCCTGTGTATTAATCAAATCTGTCTGTATCTTGCCGGTAAACTCTTCCATTGATTTTCTTCTTGGAAAGTCCTCTTCTCTTCTTGACATAGTTAAAGGTTCCTCAATTCTTTTAAGTTGTTATTTTTAGTGTTTCGGCTTTTTATATATTCCACTTAATTCCTTTTTAATTTATTTTTATATATGGTATGAATTAAGGGTCTGAATTGATTACTGATTTTTTTTTTCCCCTCCAACGAAGTCTATACATTTTTCAACATCATTTGTTGAATTAATTGTCTTTCTTCATTACCGGCTAACTTTCTCTCTATTAGCATTTGCTTCTATTAAATTAGCTCTCTTCCTGCGATGGCAGTACCCGGGAATGTCCTCTCCAGTGAGTGCTGGCTCTCACCCTTCACTCACTCATAGTCTTATTTTGTTTTCTTGAATCTTCCTTGGAAACTTGTGTTTCACCTGTGAGTCCTTCAATGGTGTGAGACTCCGGCTCTGCCGTCTGACAACAGAGGAGAAGAATTTTGGCCGAGCGCTGGTGGGAAATAAGGTCTCTGGGCGGAGGTGGCTGTCCTGTGCTATATGGGGGACCTGACTGAGGCTGTGGGGAGACACTGTCAGAAGCCCTGCTCTGGGGGCCCTGCTGTCAATTCGCTCCCCTGATGCTGAGCCCCTGTGGTGACTGGATCCACACCTTGTGCTTCTGTTCACCTGGCTGAGCTCCTGGCTACTGACTCAGAATGGTCACGCCTGTGTCTGGTCACGGTCCTCAAACGTGTCTAATGACTCCTGGGCTGCTCCCTGCCTCCAGCCCAGTGCTGGCCAGGGGGAGTCCCTGAAGGTAGGAGGGCACCACAATCTGAGCCATCCCAAACGGAGGCCAGTAGCCACCTTGGCTGTAGGGTGCTCAAAACACGCTAATGCAACTGAATGTCAGTGACTTTAATTCAGCTGTTGCGTTTACCTTTCAACAAGCACATGGGATGAGTGGGCATCATATGGGTAGACATGATGTAAAGTCGACCGCTATCCCAACTGGTCTGTGCCCGGGCTCGACACAAAACTCAAGCAACTTGTCTTCGTGTTCGCCTGGTCCTGGAATCAGGGCTGACGGGAGAGCTCTCCTGTGGAGCTGGGCAGAGTCCCAGGCTCGGCTTGCTAAAGCACTATGACCCTCTGGGCATGCATAGGGCACTAACTGAAGAGCAGATGGCATAGACTCGTGCCCGGCTGACTCACAGACACACGCGGACACACTAGTCCACCTCCAACACTGCCCACAGGTGCCCAGACCACCATTTCCACCCCGGCATCTCTCCCCATCTCTCACTGCTCCAACCGCCCTAAGACCTTCACCAGTTTTCTTTGCTAAATCAAAGATGTTCGTCTTTACTTCAATGGCCCTCTCAGCTGTGTCTGACCTGCTGACCATTCCCTCCTTGAAATGCCATCTAACCAAGGTGCGGGTGGTGCTCTCCCTTTGCCCTGCCTCCCCGACAGCTACCTTTCTGTGACTGAGAGACCTGTCTTGGGTGCTGTCCTCCCATGATTTCTTCACGTGGTCTCAACTCACCCCACATCTGCCTCTCCTGTTCAGATCCCTCCTTGAAATCCAACCCTTAAATGTCAGCTACCTCCTCAATACTCCAGCCAACAGGCTCAAGCATACATATCCAAGGACAGTGGCTACCCTGGTTGCTCCCAGCATCCAGGGGCCACGGAGACTCACTGACATCTTTGCCCTCACATCTGGACCCGTCCTGGGTCCTCATCCTCCCTGCCCTCACATCTGGACCCGTCCTGGGTCCCCATCCTCTCTGCCTCACATCTGGAGCTGTCCTGGAACCCCATCTTCTCTGCCTCACATCTTGACTCATCCTAGGTCCCCATCCCCTTTGACCTCACATCTGGATCCCATCGTGTGTGTTCTGTCCTGCGTGGTTACCATCCTTCTGGCCCTCATAGCCTCATGTCTGAGCAAACACACACATGCTGTGTTATTCCCCTGCCTCCGGGGTTTCCCCCACCATGCCAGCATTGGTTTTAACCCCCACCCCCCTGCATTCAAGTCCTTCAGAACTTTCCTGCTACATTTAGAAGGAGAGACTTCTCAGCATGGCTCAAGGCCCTGCAGGATCTGTCCTTCCTCCCCTGCACCTCTTATCGCCCTTCTGTCCCAGGGCCCTGGGAGCCCAGCGGGTCCCTCTCCACCCCCGAGACCTCTGTTCCCACCCCTCAACCCTCTCATCTTACAGGTAACATCACCTGCTTAGCAGGTCGTCACACACAGGATACATCAAGATTCAAAGCACCCAGAAGACCCTGCCTAAATGTTTAAGGAAAGGGTAATCTTTCTTTTTCCTTGTTTGCCCAAGAGATTTGGTTTGGTTTGGTTCAGAGACAAACACCTGACGATAGTCACATCATATATATTTTTTTAATATTCACAGAATCTTCACAATCCTAAAATACCTGAGATGTTTATAATTCCTGGCGTATTTTGACAAGAATGGCCTGCAGGTGGCATTTACAAGAAAAGGTCTTCAAGTTTGATAGGACTCAGTGATGCAACTGCATGGAAGACATACGGAGTCATTACGGACACTCAGAGGGCCATTCGTCCCCCTGCTCTTTCCAGCTCACCCGTGCAGACACAGAGCAACCCCCTGCAGGTCGGCTCGGGCTCCTCCCGACGGGGCAGTGGCAGGACCATCCATCTTCCCAGGGAGGAAATTTTGTCTGACTGGAGGTGTCAATGACTCCTCAGAGGAAAATCAGGTAAAAAGTGAAAATATTCAGCACTTGGATCCAGGTGGTTTGGATTCTAAGCCCAGGGGTTTCCACTGCATGAGCGACTCCAATTTCATGTTCTGAAGTCTCATTTCAGATTGCACAAGGAAAGACATCATTACTGTAAGTGAGTCAAACTATATATAAGGGATATGTGTGTGCATGCATTATATGTAGTTTTGTGCATGTAGAGATAAACACGGTTAATGGTACAATCACAGATATGGGTCATTAGCTGCACTTAGACATGGTGGGTCCATATATGAAGAACTGCTTAATTCTGGCAAAAAAAAAAGGGGGGGGTGGGACCAACTGGTATTCACATAAGACTCCTTGATGTCATTGAAATATACTGAATGTAAAGCAATTTAAAAACGGTCTCATGTCTTAAATTTTAAAAGGAAATCTTTTCATTGCATGAATTCTGAATTCTTAAGTTACCCTCCACTGATTCGGGGACAGTGAAGGTGGTTTTACTTACACTCCACCTTTCTTGGGTTTCAGGTCAATAAAAGTATGTCAGCTAAAATTTAAAAATGCATGTTCTAATCAAAATTTTTATGACATCCTTGGGTCCATCTGAAGTTGGGTCCTTTCTTTCCAAGGGGACTTTAACAGATAACCACACGAACTCTTATCAGAATAAGAGCTACAGGCGTGCACTGGTGCACCTGCCAAGAAGTACCTCATGCGGGCACATTTGTGGGGGTGTGTGAAGGGCATCCGAGGGAGCTCTGTTGACTGATTTCAGTTCAGACACCAGGTCCTGCCTGGGGGAGCTCTGCAGAGCCCAGGTGGACAGAGCACTCCCTCCCTCTGTGCGTTCAGCCTCGTCAGACATGGCACTGGAGGGGCCATGAGCCCTGCTGTGGGCACATCACTTTCCCTGGGCTTGCCTCCCTGTTCCTGAAGCTTCCATGTTGCCAGAAGCCTGCACAGAGCATTCTCATGTACAGTGCAAGTAAATCGGTTTGGGGATAAACATATTTTAAAATGTCAGCCTGCTTATTTGGTCCATGGGATGAGAAATGCAAGATTCTCAGAAAATGCCATGTTTGGCTTGGACTTTGTCCTGGAATGTGGAATGGAACACATGCTAGATCCTCCCAGAGTATTACAAGGATTAAAAGAGAAAGTGTGAGCAAAAGCAATTGGTGAATTCTCATATGCTGCATTTCACCAAATTTCATTAGTCATTATTTACCATCCGTGTCATGATTAGAACGATCAGATTGTGTTGTCACAGGTCCATAGAAGTGAGAGGGTGCAGAATCTTAAAAAAAAATGAGAACTTTTATAGAATGTCCAAACTGAGGAGCCTGTATAAATACCTCCCACAAAAAAAAAAAAAAAAAAAAAAAAAAAAGGAAGGAAGGAAGGAAAGAGGGTGGGAGGGAGGAAGGAAGGAAGGAAAACAATGACCTCCACCCTCGGATGCCATAGAACCACGTAAGGAGACATGAAAGATGAGTAAGAGAGAGGCAGTCCAGCTCAGGGAGCCTGGCTGTGGCTGAGTGAGCCATCCGAGATCTCAGCTCAGCGATGCGCGTTCTGTCTGGTTGGAGACTCTCCCGGGACGAAAGCCTCACGGGTGTACTTAGCTCCCACAGCCCGCAGTGGCCAACGTCAGATGGTGCCTGAACGGTGCTGACGCCTGGCGGGCACCCCGCCACGCCTCGGAGCCCCTCCCTGCATACGGTGCGCCCCCCGCAGCACCACCCTCCGCTGGGAGCAGGGGAGAAAGGGAGGGCCTCGGTGCACCCCGCATCTGCTTGTGGCTACGAGAGCGGACGGGGTCGTGTGCTCTTTGACGGCCGAGAGGCCCCCACTTCCACCAGCTACCACCAGATCGTCAATGCTTACCGTATCTTTCCGCTACCCAGTGGGGCCGGTGCCAATCCCCCCCCCCTCCGTGACAACTGCCCACAGAAATAAGATCATGTCTCCTCGCGAAGTCCCAGAGAGCCTCCGGGGGCTCGGTGTGAATTACAAGGCGGCACCTCGGGGGTTCGTGCAGCCCCCGCGAGGGCAACCCCGTGAGTGATTTCTACTCCCATCACCCACTCCACTTTGTGCAGTGCCCAGACCGACCAGCGCCTCATCCATTCTTCCTTCGCCATCTACATCGATCGGCTCAGCTGTTCAATACACATCTCTATTGATAAGACGGACTTCCCAAATGGAGATTCTGGTATTTGCTAATTCGTTTTTGTTTGCTCATTCATGTTTTCCTCAGTTACGATGCCAGGCATTGGGATCAGCAGGGATGGGGAGAGGGAGCCCCGCCAACTCCCCGGGGGCCCTTTGTAGAAGGCCTTACCATGCAAAGGGGGCTGGTCTTTGGCCAGTTTGAAAGCTCACGGAAACCCAGAAACAGAGGAAACATCTGTGCACAGAATAGCCATGTCCCTACCTCTCAGCTTCATTAGAAATAAGCATGATGAAAACCTACTCTTACGGAGGCATGCTGGCTATTTTAGGTGAAGAAGTTATGAAATCGCACACATTGGAACTCTCTGCCCACATCCAAACTGCTATCTGCGATGCTGAGTCTGGAGTTGGTGAGCGAGAGGCTCTTGCTGGCCGAAGTTTCTGGACTCAGAGGCTCCCCATATTTCCAGACCAACATATTTTGCCACTGCGGGGCCAAAAGCTGGTGTGTTACCTTCCGCCCACAGTCCTCTGTCTCCGGGCATTTACTCCCCTGGAGTCTCTCTGCCACATAGACAATTCAACATTGTCAGAAAATGGGCTGCTTGGAAGAAAATGGGCTGCTTGGAAGAAACGTCACTTACGTCTCTTATTTTGCGATCATTTTGTGTGCACTTAATTGTAATAGTCTCAAAGATTTGGGAGTTAATTTTGTTTGCCATGGAATTTCAGGAGTAATTGAAAGGGACGGGGAGACTCTCCAATGATTGCACCTTTATACCAGTGTTTTTCTGCTATGATCATGAGCAACCCCATGCCTGGTGTGCTTTTTGTTCAGGTAGTCTGGAAACATTTTTAAGTAGAGACAAAAAATTCTTGCGCAAGCATGGATTTGAATTTGCCTTCCGTGCCTTTTGTGACTGAAAGCAGGTTTGTTTATAGGCTGCAACCGATTTAAGCCTCTTAAAACTTGACAGAAAACCAAATTAGTACTATTTCCAATTTGTTCACATGGGATTTCCCCCCATCTCGCTGTGGGAGAACCACTTCATCAGGGAAGAACAGAAATGCAGCACTGAATGATTTGAGAGCTTGTGAGGGTGGCTGGAAATCCTCTTCTGTGCTGGAGTGCGTGGCAACACTTTTGCAAGCCCTCCCATGCGTGGCTGGATGGCTGGCGTGCTGGGTCCGCCTGCCCGTGGGTGAGCTGCAGGGGAGTGGCTGGCAACCACATCACTCAGGAGACGTCCAAGCGGAGTACTCATGATTAAAATGCGAGAGGGTGTGGAGAGGTCGGTGAAAATTGGTGGGACCTTGAGCAAACACATCTGGGCGAGAGGAGCTAGAGTTTGCAAAGGGAGGCAGGAGGAAGATGTGTTTTGTGGGGCAGCCACGGGTTTGAGTGACTTGTGAAGGTATAATTTGCATCTGTGACCTGCTTCCTCAGCCAGCAAGAATGAATGCACGAGTGACTGAGCTCATCAGCAACATGAGCATTGATAACAAAATCTACCTCTACCATAAAGCAACTCTTTCGGGCTGGCTCCCCAAAATCTTCCTCCTGCCCACACTCTGTACCCCCACTGTGCATCCACTCAGAGTTGGAGCTCCACCGAAGTAGGAAGTACGTGGGATTTTGATCTTAAAGTCCTGATCTCAGGCTCTGGCTTCAGGTTTTCGAGGCACGGAAGCTCGACCTCTATGGAAGGAACCCCTGTTCTTTTCAGAATCCCAGTATTGCTCATCTCGTGATAATGATAAATGTCCTCTTATCTCAGAGTTTTATGAGGATCAGACAAAATCATGAGTGTGAGTGTCTTGGGAAGTCTGCAAAACTGTGCAAACGCTCCTGGTTGTTGGTGGCCAAGTGGGTGGACAGGAGCATCTGGGGTAGTTCAGAAGCACTCAGAGGGACCCCGAGCACTGTAGAGCTTGAGTAGTCAACCAGGTCATAGAGGAAGATGCTGTCAATAAGGGAAGATTCGCTCCATCTGAATGGAAGCCTGGAGTGGAGGAATGCAAGCTGTTGTTGACTTTTATGATTTCTTAATTTCCAGATTCATTTCCTTGGAACCTTGAAGCTGTGTGTCTGGGCCACTCTGCATTCATGGCTGGATTTGGGATTCCGCTCTGGTTTCTCAGTTATTACAATCATACCAGGGAACCCGGGCCATCAGGGTGATATAGGCATGTTCTCATTGTTCCCAAATACACAGCCTCAAAAAGATGGCAGTTCCAGGAAGAAGCTATGCAAATAACGTTCATAGTAGTCTTGAAATTTATTCCCAAATAGACTAACTTCCTCATTCTGGAAATGGTAGCAATGCATGTCACATGAGTGAGATATGCTTGCATTTTACTTGTAACGCCACGTAGAACCTTGCCATGGTCACCATGAGGACAGAGACAATACCATTAATGAGGCTTCACAGGTCCTTCCAGGCACTGTCTTCCAGAACCTTCCATTTTCCACGGCTTTCTTTTCTGGCATGCCCTGGGGACCCACTGTAGGTGAGTGTGTTTTTTCCAAAATAGAAGGCTTCATCTCCTCCCCTTCTTATTTAGGACGTCGGGGGCTTCTACTTTATTCAGGGGATTCCACAGACTGGGAAAGCATATACTGTGCACTGTGTTGTAAATCTCTGCCAAGCGTCAATGGGGAGCCAGTGTGAGCTAAGCCTCAGCACAACACAGGAGGCCGCTAATCTGGCTGAGATGACGAAGGCCCCAGAGTAAAGAGGTGCCTTGGCGTCTTGCCGGCATCTTCCAGCGAGTGTGCTGGTGAATCTAATCTTTATGTTTCACAATTCACCTGCAGACTTTTTCAATCTACTGAG